AAGCCCTCTCGAGAAGGTATTACCTCCATTTTCCATGCTCTTCCTAGGCACAGTAGGCCCAATAAACAAAACGCATATCCAAGCAGATCTTTCAAATCATGAGATTACACATTAATTCAAAACACTGAGGGAGGTGGATTTACACTAAGATGCCTGACTGCAAACTGGGATGTAAGCAATGGCATTGTGTCAACTCTGGTATGTAGACAACAACATCAGATTTCTGCAGATGCTTGCTCAGTGGATGAGTCAGATTGCTTACAGTGACAGCAAAGTTGCTGCATTAAGAAGGACTCTGCATTAAAAAGGCTGAGGTACATATATGTTTTGTTTGATGCTTTGTGAAAGGAAAAGAATAAACCTCCAGTATAGCAGCAAAACAGACAGTGGTGTTGGGAGTGTAGTTTCATAACTTAATATGATCTAAACCAGGATTACTGATGAGAAGACAACGGTCTCTTCCTCCCTCCAACCCCAGCTGCTTCTGTTGCATCAACACTGGCAGAGATGCAGCTCATCAGGTCAGTGCTCTCATCTGCCTGAAATCTAACACTAGTGAAATAAACACTCTTCAGCAGTACCTGTTCACCCATCCTACTCACTTCAGGATTGCGGAATTACTAATGCCAACACAAGAAAGAGGCTGGCAGTAAGCAGGGTAGGGCTGGATGAGGCTACACCTACTTTTGCAGCAGCAGTCTTAATCCTAGCTTTTTATAAAACCTTTAAGTAGTTGTCATAGCAAGTTTTCTTAGAACTCTTGGTTAGCCACTGTATCCTCTAATTGTATACAGATTACATACAAAATCAAATTAATACACTGTGGCCTTGGTTTATCGAAGTATTTAAAGCATGTGTTTATTATAATGAGATTACCATATATTTATTATTCATTTAAATGCTACACTGAAGGAGAAAATTTCGCAGAGTAAGTGCCGATTTACTTGTAAAACATACAATTATCCCACTGTCATTAAAGAGACTGCTTATGGTAGATATATAAAGTTAAGAATTTTAACACAGCCTCGCAGGATCAGTACACTAAATTTATAGTGATTCATATATTAACTAAGACGACGGGAATAACACCTTTTTTTCCATTATTTTTCACATTACCTGTGTCTCAAGAAACATACCCAATAGACTGCCACTGATATGGGGTCACAAAAGACCTCTAGACTCTATATAACAAAACTTAAATTTAAAAAAAAAAAAAACCAAAACATGACCAAAACCAGTAAACCAACAGTAGAATCTTTAAATCTAACATGTCACCGCAGGAGAGCAGTAGAGGTCAAGAGTATCACCAATACTCAACCATGCCAGCAATAGCAGGAAATCTGTTAAATAAACAATTCTCATGCAATATTGATTTAATTGCAAGAGAGGAAGGAAATAAATCCTTCCTGACTAAATCTGGTAATCTATTAACCAGACAGCATGAAGACATTTCCAGTAAGCACCTGAGAAATCCCTGTGCTTCACTCATTTCAGCCCATATCCTGTTTCTAGCACTTCCCAGTCTCCAGTTCCTCACAAAACAGTAAAGTTAAAAAGCAATACAAATGCAGAAAGTAAATTATGTTTCAATGTGTAAAGAAAATTTCCTTCCTGGTTAGTTTTTTTTCCTTACAGTAACCTGCAGGCAAGTGGTAACGTTGAAGCTCAGAATAATATACAAAAAATACAGTGCAAACTGGGATCCAATCTCCTTTCAAATCCCCCCTAAGGTAGCACCATACCAATTCGTTTCAACAATTTAATACTGGGTCTTCATGAGTTCTGTATGGTCATACATTCTTGCACGAGCTCATCAGTCTTGACATTAAAACGGTGTAGGGTACATGGCAAACCTTCTTAAATTCACTTCACACCTCTGTTAGAAACCTTCTAATCTGCAGCCTAAATATATTCCTAATATATGCATTGTTGATGATACTCTTTCTTACTAACTGTATGCACAATGATGTCCTGATTTCATTTAAAGCTTTTCACTTGAATTTTCTAAATGTTTTGGCCACCTACTTGACATTAGAAGCCAATATTACAGGAATTTCTGAAAAAACTCTTTAGTTAGCACTGTATGGTTAGCTTCAGAGCCAAAAAGTACTTATGTTCCTTGCTCATACAAAAGGCAATTTTGATAAAACAGATAAAATTAAGAGCTGTTTTCAAAGAACAGACAATATGTAGCAATAACATACAAGTTGTTTACAAGAAAGTAGGGTAATTAAGAGGATTTCCTCCTATGCTATAGGATGTTATAATGTGTATCTTCTAAGACTATTCATTAGCCTAAGCAAAGAAAAAAATTTCATTCCTGTATTCTAACTTTTCAATGCCCTTAATATTAATTTGCTGAAGACAGTGCTGGGTTTTGTGTTTCCATCAGAGGTCTCTCCTTTTAAAAAAATACTAAGCAATAATTACACTGTACTATCTCAGGATTTTTAAATTTATCAAACCTGTGCAAAAGAGATTATAAAAGAAAGGCTGTAGCACCTTCTGAATTACTTGACCTCTACATACTTCATCTAAGTTTGCCAATAGAATTACATTTCTCATTTTGCAATTTTAACTGTTCACAGATATTATTAGTAAGTATTTTTGTGTCCCAACTAAAAGGGTTGATGGTTCAGGTGGTAAACCAAGTCATTTCATTGTTTGAATTAAAGGGGGGGGGGAGGCGCAAGGGGCAGAAAAAGGATCAGAATGCCAGAAGCTAATTTAGAATCTGTAAAATAAGATGTGTTTTAATGTTATTTATGGTGTTATTTAAATAGGAAGACATTAACAACAGCAATTGAATTTTTAAAGATTTACAAAATACCTGAACCACATATTTTGTAACATTATAAACTGAAAAGGTGAAGCTCCATTTTAGACTTTCTAGATTCAAAACAAGCAGATTTGCAATGTTTTCAATACTTCATTCTATATACTACAAGAAAGAAAATGCTTGTTTTTTCTAAGCTTTAGAAGGAGAAAATGCTGGAAGAGGAGATCCAGTAGTCATTCATACTCTGAAGTTAAAAGAGGCTCATTATTTTAAGTATTAGGTTGCCAAACTTAGGAGATATAAAAGGATAAGCAATATTCACTGGGGAGAAGTGAAAATGGAGGTACTAAAACACAGAAAAGAAAGCAAAGATAGTGATTGTGGGTAACAATTATATCTTCTTTTATGCACTGAACACTTTAAACTCTAAAATATTCATGAATTTAGACTGCAAGAGTGTTCCATAATTGCAGGCTTTTTGCTACTCTGACAGACCATCATTATTGAAATGTACATTCTTTCATCCACTTTCTACATAACTGACACATTCAAAGAAGACTCAAGATAATGATTACTGTGGTTACTTATTAGCCCACCTATACTATCCACCATGTTAGTTTTTTCCTCTCACGCTCCCCTATATTTCTTGGTAGCTTAGATTAGTTACTGGATTTTTTTCCTACAGTATTTCCCACAACAGTGTGCTTGCTCCTCTGTCCCTCTCAACTTCATCACCTTCTTTCTTTGTTCCCGTTGCCCACAGAGGTAGCAGGAGAAGGTTTAACTGAGCCTGTTTGGAGCTGCAAGGCAAACACCATGAAAGGAAGCCACTGTTGGCCCTTTCTTTTCCATCACTGTCTTTCAATCAGTACTTCCCTGCTGTAAAGGAATCTGAACTGTTACACTCTCAGCCACATGCATCAACCCTCAACTTCTTATTATCTTTCTAATCAATAAGAAACCTTCAGTATCACTACATTATATAAAAAAAACAGTGTTTTGTCTACCTCTAACTTAGAGCTAAGGGTTTTTTACTGAATTCGTTTACTGAGTTCATTAATGAAAATGGCCTTTTTGCTACTTTAAACATTGCTATATTAAACATTTAATAATGTCTAAATGATCCAAATTTAAAAACAAAACAAAACCTAAACTAACCGAGCATTTAAATTCTGAGAAAGGCATGATCTCATGTAGAGGGGGGAAAAAACAGCAAGCAGTCTTGCCACAATACCAAGGAAGAAAGCTCTGAATCACCAGACAACACAGCAATATCTGGAGTAAAAATCAATGCAGAGTGCTGTAAAAAGAAAGAAGGAATTTTGACTACTACAAATACAGTTTGTTTCCAATTGATTTAGAAGTTGGAGTTTGAGTCTTGAACTGCAAAGAGCCTGGCATGTTATACACCAGGTAGCAAACTGTTCTGTGCCAGGCTGGCAGCTGACCTCAAGAGGTCTTTTCCTTCTCCTCCTTAACACAGGCCAGCTAGAAAAATACATCCAGCAGGAAGGAGTAAGGCAACTTCCATGTCTCAGCAGTATTATTGCCACAGCCTAACGATTACTACTTTAAATGAATCTGGTATAGTACCACTCGTCAGCTTTAAGTAACACTACAAATATCCTCAGACTAATGCTTGTGCTCTGTATCAACTTAATGCACAGTCTAAAACCAAACATTTAAGAAGACATTGTAATTTGAAAAGCATACATCTGGAAAGCAGAGTCAAATCTAATTTAAAGTATGAGGGGAGAGAGGAATTCTAAAGAAAGACAGCTGAGAAAAGTACTGTTGAAAATGAGGTAGTAATACATGTCTAAAACTAAAGATTTATGGGGTTTTATTTTTAATAGTGCCATAGTTAATGGCATTTATTTAATTATATTTATTTCAATAATGACATTTTGAAGCATGTTATGCAATATTTACAGGACAATTTCAGAGTACTCATGAATTCAGCACTAAATGTTACTCTGAAAAGAGTACTTCTCACTCATTTTTCCTCATACTACAATTTCTATCAAGCTATTATCATTATTTTAATAGTCTTGGATAAATTCTAAATTTAGCTATTAGAAATTTTTTTCAGAGGAAAAGCAATACCTCACTTGATGTACAAAAATTCTTCCTGACATACCGCACTAGACCACAAATGCTGGTCAACTAAATCTGCCCAGTACTTCTGCATTTTCCGTCCCCCAACCAGCAAGTGACTGACCTTCCTTGAGACTCTTCTGGCTGTTCACCTCAAGGCATTCCTTCTCCTTCAGTGGCTTAACATCTCCTGCAGGTAAAATCTCAGAAAAGCCCTGTTGCTGCTTCTTGGAACTATCGATCATGATGAGAATCCTTTAGAATGGCAACATCCAGCACAGGAAAAAAAAAAATATTGTCACCAAGCAGCAGCACACTGCTGTCCCGAACACTGCTTCCAGGTCCTTTCTCCTAATCAATGAGCAGTTGCGCCTTTGTGCAGCCGAGAGCAGCCATCACCATCCTCCTCCTCCTCGTCCTCCCCTCGCAGCCCCCCAGCCCGCTCTGGCGCCGGGAGCTCCCGCCGGCAGCAGGCACGGAGCGTGTGAAGCACAACTCCCAAATCCCGCCTCTGTTCCCAGCCAGCCACTCCCCCCCCCTTTCCCTTTAGTTACGCTCGCTTCCTCGGCACATTCGTGTTTCAGTGTGCAGCTTGATGGTCAATCATCTGACAAAGAATGAGTCAAGCAGTTAAAAATAAATCCAGCAGTTGCTGAAGGAGCAGCATTCGCTGATACCTAAGACAAACTACCGTTGAGGACTCTCTCCCTTTTCCCCCTTTCTTTTCCCTTCCCCCACTACTCTGAACACTGCTGCAGGCAGCAGAAATACTTTATCTTTGCTTGACTGGCACATTCATTACTCATTAAGTTACACCAGTAAACAAAGCTGCACACTGGCATTTGAAAAAGTTATGCTGAGGAACCTTCCCACCCACCCCAGCCCCAGGTCTTGTTTCAGATACATTTATCCAGCAGCACTAAGTGGGAAAACCAGTGATTATTTCCATGTCTTTCCTTGCAGTATAAGAGATTCTGTTCCTTGTTGCAAGTATCTAAAACCCAAGTATTTCATTATTTTCCTTTTTTGCATTAGGTACACACCTCATTATTCCCAGCAGTTCTAGGAGTATTTCGTCCCACAGTTTCTGATCTACCATTCCCTCCAGCACATCCCATTTATCTCACGAGTCATAAACTTCAGTGTCAACCTGGAAGACTTTGGGGAAATGGATCCCCTCTAATTATCTGCCATTGGCCATGAGGGAACAGCAGACAAGTCTGCATTTAATGTACTTAGAGAAAATAAACTATACCGAATTTTAAGTAGTCACTACATGTCAACAAGTACCTCTAGCAGGTGCATTTTCCCTTACCTTTGGCCTAAAAACACTATCATTATACATATTTTCCACACCTTTTACTTCATATTTTAGATCCTCCAGCCTGAAATTATAAAGGGCATCCACTCAAAAAAACTGTTTCAGTTTTATGGCATCAGGTTTGAAAATATATACAACAGAGTATATATTTATATTCATATTATATATAGATATATATTTGTGTATATATATTGTATATTTTAAATATATATACCGTAACAAACATCTGATGCAGAATTTATAAAATTAGAAACTAGAAAAAAATCATCTTGCCTCTTCGGATCTTTCTACAAGACAATCATTCAACACCAACTCTTCACCTGAACGGTGCACTCCCAGGGCAAGCAACTGATACCCTAGGGGGGTCAGGGGAGCTGCCTGCAGCAGCCAGCAGGATTTGAAAGCCTCTCCCCATCTTCCTACTGATGGGAGAAGAAAGACCTAGATCTGCTCAGAACTGCAGAGTCAGAGACATGAGCTTACAGGCAAAAGAAAAACTCTTGCAGCATAAATTATTTGAGGCAGATCTCCAAGCCTAAAGATTTGTTGTTTGCACATCATCTGTACAAAAATTATCATCTTAGATTTTGTTAAAATACAAATTATAGACTATTCCAACACATCTGCTTTTGCAGTGATTTCTACTGAATACAAGAGAAAAAAAAATTACTGTGGAAGAACTCCTTCATAAATCAAATGAACTTCCTCACTGCCTGCAGCTGGAACACTTACTATGCATAAGAAACAAAATTACTGTTGAGAAACTCCACACATCCAGGAAGAAAAAAAAAATCCAGACAAACAGAATACAAAACACATACTGCTTAAGAAACCTATATGAAAATCTGACACAGTCAATGAATAGAATTTTACACAGTTATTGATGTACCAGATTATAACCCCACATTTTTCTTGTAGCAACAGAGAATTTAACAGTTTGGATGGAATAATTATATTCTGACAGCATAACAATAAGTAACAGCAGAAATTGTTTTATGGGAAGGGTACAGTGCGTTTCACACATTTTCTGCAAAATCGGTACTTTGGTCTATAGCAATTTTAAAATTCAGAGAACAGAGTATTTTGAAATTTAAGAAATCAACATACTAATAGGAAGTGTGTAATTAAAGAACTCGAGGAGTAACACATTTTCCTTCAAATGTCATAGTTTTGAAAGTAGTTCTATCCATTCCTGTGTGTTTATAGTGCTTTATATAAATTAAGTGCCCAGTGCTCAACTGAATGCTGGGTCACAATAACAGCAGTTGGGTAACAGCAGTTCAAGCCTTCTTGAACACTTCTCACCTGTTCAGAAAGACAAGCTTTAGTAGCATGGAGTTCCTGCTACTCGCTCCTCCCCTTTTTCATGGGTACCCACTCCACAGCAGAATTTCCAGAAATTGATATGCTTATGCTTCAGCCATTTGGAGTTAAGCCAAATATTTTGCTTCAAATTCACTTTCCAGCTCAATACAAGCTAACATACAGATTAATATTTTAAAACCCCTTTAAGAAGTCTGATCAAAATCTCAACAGTAATTTGCAAATGACTTTATGAAGAAAAGCAGGAATCACAGAATTTATGGAAAATAAGAATAATTGAATTTTTTGTGCAGACTAGGAGAGATGAATGGTCAAAAAGATGCTGCCTACTTTCCATGTAACCAAATATTGTAGTTGCCAATAAATGCTATACAACATTGAATAGTTGGCACGGGAGCAGACATAACAACTGAAAAGGAAGAAAAGATATCTCGGAAGAAGAAAATCTTTTTTGTTCAGATTCAGTTATATTGTAAATATTGAGAATGCCTGGACATTGTGCCCAGGGAAGTTTCTCTTAAACCCCTGCAGGAAGAATGACATTTATCCTCCAAGTCATGAAAAAAAAAAGACTCATATTCCAACAACATCTCATTTTCCAGCAGTCTTGAATATACATTAATTCAAGCTCAACTAATAATTTGGATGTATTAGTTACCTGAGTGCTCAACAATATAGTTCTACTATTTTTAGTGATAAGGCTTCAAAGCAAAAATAATCAGCATGTCTCGACATGTCTATTAGAAAAGTCTAAAATTCCGCGACAATTTCACAGGCACCCGGAGGCATCTCACAACTGCCGGCTCAGTAGCTGTAGTTGCAGCACTATTACATGGGAACAGCGCATGTTTTAATGAGCTACTTTCTCACATTCCTAAGAACTGCACTAGAAGGAACAGAGACGCTATGAGCTAGTTAGTACATTCAAGTAGTAAATTCATCTGCTAACTGTCAATACTCAGTTGTTCAAAGGTGCCTTCTACTCACAAGCGGGTCCCATGGGAATGAAGGCAAAATGCCTCCTCATGATCCCCAGAGAGCCAATCCACCTGCCATTTAAGAGCTCCCTTTTTCCTGCTAAATGAAATAATTTTGTCATTCTCCTAGAACAGTTCACATATGTTCTTACTTCTGACTGTTAAAGCACCATACCTACTTCTCAGATTCACTTACACACTTTCAAATCTGATAGCAATTTTTTAAGCTCTTGCAAAATAGGAGAAGCCCTGTTATCAGCCACCAATACCACGCCGATACTTCAAACATACTTCGTTTGGACAGTATCCGTCTTGAAGGTCATTGTTTTGACAGATAAAAACTGCTTTGCACAGCAGTTACTTTCATTGTTGGTTTTAAAGGATGCTAATTCCACATTGATCTTAAAAGAACTGGTGAAAGACTTGAAGGGTGAGAACTTCACACTTTCCCATTACAATTACCCATTTTGTCCTATAACAAAAAATCCTTTTGAATAAGTATTAGTGAAATGATAGCAACTTGTTTGTTCTCTGACTACTCTTTAAAGCCTTTTATTTATTTTAGCAATTATACAGTAAATAGAACACAACCCATGAAACATAAACAAAAAAAGCTTGGGGTGTTTCAGCTCCTCTCACAGTTTGAAAAGCTTTTGTGCTCAGATTCTAAAAGGCAGCTGGAATTTGGATTGTCACTTGAAATTGCTGGCATTATTAAAAAAACAAGCCAAAAAACTTTTAAAAATTGTTGAATTTTCATCTTGTCTTTCTGCTGCTGAGTGTATACTTAAATACAGGTTTTGTAATAAAGGAAAGAGAACTACTTGTTTCCAAAGTAAGCACTGGATGTATAATCTCTCTGATATGATCATGTACCTGTTTCCAAAGAGCTATTTTTAACAGTACAAATAGCTAAATGACACTGAGGATCACACAGGAACCTATAATGAGCTAGAAACAAAACTGTGGCTGACACACTAGTTTATATTGAACAATAAAACATGGGTATCTCTTTCAGCTAAAAGAAAATCTTAAGCAGTGCATGTTGTATCTTACAATTGCAGGTTTAAAACCAATTACAAACAGCATCACTGTATCAAATCCATAAGTTGAAGTAAAAGATACACAACTGTTACCACCCGGAATGGGAACCCGGTGAGTCTTAAAGCTTCTGGGATCCCCTTGGGTTAAATTAAGGTGAAACGACACCAAATGACCAGTTAAAATGTTTTACTTGAGGTAGAAACAACTTAAACTTGGGAAAGGATAGTAAGCAATATGGTCTCTTACTGATAAACCTATTTAAAAAAAAAAAAAAAAAAAGGAAAGTTACGAAAAGGAAAGGAAAGAGCCCAAGTTCTGTTGTCGCAGGCCTGGTTATCTTGGGTGGTGAGTGCACACATGGCAAAGTTTTCTGTTGCCTTTTAAGTTCATTTTATCAGCTGATTAGGATACTAGACAAAGAGAGGGGTATTCCATCAAAGAATGTGGTCAAGGTGGTCGTGCTCCCCCCCTAGCACCTTTACTTATTCCTCAGTTTTTTTCTGCTTTGGTAGCTGTCCAGCCTCTAGCTTATCAGTCTTTTTGGCCCAAACATAGAGTTTCCTTTGAGGCTTATCTAAGGAATCTGGCACTACAGCAGCAAGGAAGTGGAGCCATGCACCCTTTGATACACTCCTGCTGCCCAGCGTTCCTTAGACTAATCACAAAGGCCACAGCTCGTCCTTGAGGCTTTTCTGTGTTGAGGAATGTTTGAGGCATCAGTTCCTTCAGTTCCTTACAACAACAAGCATTTTGTTTCAATAAAAATTACATCTGTTGCAATTCACATCATCTTCAGAGGGTAGAAGTGCCTCTAATTTTAATTTCAATTTATGCCAGTTGTATATATTGTATACAAGTGGGTGAAATTAAGAAAAAACAGCTTCATAATGGAACATCCTTGTCAGTTCCATAAACCAGAATCCAGTAACA